AGTCCAGCTTGTCTGTGCTGCAAAGGTGAACCCTAGCCCAACCCAGTTAAATCAGAATCTGCTTCCCTAAAAAGTAAAGACAAAAGTAAATATGTAGGAACCTACAGTCAATTATCAAAGAATTATAAATGAACAAAATAAAGTGGTGGAGCAGGCTGAATGGATTCAGAAATTCTCCTATCCAAAGTACATTTTAAGATAGGAATATCCATTGAAAGAGTACCAGAAACCCACCTCCTCATGCTCTGTTTCCCCAGAATATATGTGGTAATTGAAAGATATATTATTTTTATCCAGTGCATATCTGCTTTGCTAGAGAGGAAAAGTGCAATTTCTATCAGTGGAAAACTGTACAGACTATGTGTTTGAGCAAAAAGATTTTAATAAAAGCAAGAAAACAAACAGTTATTTTTGGATATAAGAGACGATTCGGAGCAAGAAATGGAAAACATCAACTTAGAAAAGTCTCCACTAAATTGAAACCTGATACAAGGGAGAAAGACTTTGTTGTAGTCAAATCCCTAAATCCAAGTTTGGAGAAATGGACAACAAGAAACACAAACACAATACTCAGAGACTCATTACTATATAGGAATGCTTCATGGACCCCTCGTGTTGTACAAGAAATATATGTTGTACAAAATTGAAGATAGGAACTGCTCAAGGCCTTTAGCCAAATAAGCCTGAGGAAAGATTAGTACATCATCAGATAAGTCATGCTGACTACAGACTCTAAACAGACCTCCTCACCTGAAAAGAAAAAAAAAACTACACCATAATACTAAATCTAAGAATTACCAACAATTACCTTTTGGAGGTGCTTTTTCAGTTTTCTCCTGTTTTTCTGGTTTGATTTTCTGAGCAACTAGAAATAAACAGACATGATACTGCACTTATTTAAAGATACAGAGTTCAGAAGAGCTAAGTGAGAATAAAAATATTTAAATTGACACCTGCATTCTGGGGTCTGATACCGTGAAGAAAGAACTAGGCAATTCAGCTACCATTAACTTCAACTCACAGGACTGTCCCCAAATTAGTGATCTCAAGTTTTGTGACATTTATGGATGTTGTTTATCTGAGTTCTTATTTAAAGCTCTACTTGGGAGGAAAGTGATGTTTCACTGACATTCTATGATTCTTTGCAAGAGGAAACACTGAAGATAGACTAGAGTTTCGCAGCCAGAGAGAGCTCACAGCTGAGAGCTATGCTCATTTCATTTGGAAGTAGCACAAAGCAACAGTAATAAAAGCAATAATAATCCTTCATTAATATATGGGGATGGAGAAAGAACTAACCCAGGAAGAGTGCATCTACACTGTGCCTGGAGCTTGAAGTAAGCCACATAATTTGAGCTACACAAATTTGTACACAAAATTTGTACACAAAATTATTTTTTAGTCAATTTCAAAATATCTTTTTTCAAAATTTGGTGCTGTCTACACAGCACTAATTTTGAAATAAATCGCTATTCTGAAACATCCCTTACTCCTCGTGGAATGAGGCTTACAGAGACATTGGAATAGTGAGCCAATTATATTTCGAAATAACAGGCGTGCTCAAAAGACAGAATAGCTATTTCGGGATACCTCTGGTATCCTGAAAGAGTATTGCAGTGTAGACATAACTGAATAGGTCAAGCAGTTCATGGAACTTCTCTCTCTCTCTCTCTCTTTTTCCAGTAGTCAGAGTCACATTTTGTAGCCCATAAGAAGGTGTATAGGTGCAAATTGCAATGTGGGTCCACTCTCTACCTGCAGCTAAAAAATGCCCTTGTCGCAGTTTTATAGAAAATGTCACTTTACTATCCATTTACATAAGGTTTTTGGGGTAAGACCAGTATTGAACAGCTCTGATTACACTAATGGCTTTTAACAAAATATAAAAAGGAAAAGGATTTATAGATAGCATTGATACATGGGACAGCAGGGGTGTGTCTAGATTACATGGCTCTGTTGATGGAGCCATGTAAAGTGGTTTACCCGACATAGTCAATGAAGCAGGAATTCAAATACTCCCCACTTCATTAAATAAAAATGGCCGTCACGCTGTGCCAACTATCAGCTGATCTGGCACAGCACAGCAGTCTAGATGCAGATCGGTCGACAAGGGAAGCATTTGTCATTTCACGAGGCATAACGGAGCAGTTGACAAAGGCTTCCCTTGTCGACCGATTCGTGTCTAGTCTGCTGCGCTGTGCTGGATCACCTGATTGTCGGCACAGCGTGGTGGCCATTTTTATTATAATGAAGCGGGGAGTATTTAAACCCCCGCTTCATTGACTATGTCGGGTAAACTACTTTAAATGGCTCCGTTGATGGAGCCATGTAGTCTAGACACACCCCAGATGTTTGTAGGACAGAACCAGTAGACTCCTGCCCTAAAGAATCAAGCACAATTTGGGGCATAAAATAAATGAGCAGTTCTACCTTAATAAGATGTGATGGGCCAGATGCAGGAAATTCTGAGTGAAATTCTATAACCCGTTTTACACAGGAAGTCATAATGGTCCCTTCCAGTCTTAAAAATGTACCAATCTTAGATCTGCTCAAATAGTAATAATAGTAAGAATGCGAACACTGAAGTTCATGCGAAGTTGTGCACAGATTATCTCAGGCTGACTTCTTTTTAGAGTGAAACCTGTCCTCCCCCCCAAAAAAAGGTAGAGGTGAAATAAAAGAGTATTTCGTTTTCAAAAGTCATGCCCAAACCAAAGATGTGAGTCTAATAAATGCCACATTCACTGCTGGTGAAACATGATAACTCTTGCCCAGCTTTGTTTATGTGTTCAAATTATTTCAGACAATAACTGCTTTGTCATTAGCACATCCATAGCTGGTTGCCCTTCAACCTTTAAAACTGAAAATCTGTGAAATCACTGAAATCTAATTATACTGGAAGGTAAAACTAAATAATCCAGATGTACAAATGTCTTCCCAATCATCTCAGTTAAATTCTTTTTCTGACAGTCATTGAAGGGCTAATGCGGGGGGAAGGTGGGGGTTAGCCTTCACCATGCCCCTTCTGCCCAAGGAATCTGCTCCTTCCAGGGGGACCCAGAGAGAGCACCTCCCAGGGTCTGGTGAGGTTTCTCTCAGGTTTAAAGGACCTGTGCAAGGGAGTAGATAATCAGGCCCAGTGCACCTTGAAAAGTATTGACAGCTCCTGAAGAGAAATAATTACCTATGGGTTTTTCTTTCTTTTCAGGTTTTTCTGGTCTTTCAGGTTTGTCTTTGTGCATCACTGTGAAGAAATAAACATTTACATTTTAATGACAGCTCTCACAAATTCAGAAATTAAAATAATTCTGCCAAGATACAACAATAAAATACAAAACCAAACACGGGCTCTGATCTGCTAATTTTTACCATACCTCTATGAATACTCTCTCAGAAAACTGCTAAACACAGGACTCAAACTCACATTAGACTGGTGGTGTGTGGCTTCAATGACCATAGCATGTCACGTTAGCCCACTACTTATTCTGGTGGAAGACTGCCTGCAAAAGTGCAGGTGACTTTCTATGATGTACCAGCTCAGCTCAAGCCACAGGGTAGAGCCAACTTTTTTCTTGACGTAACTTTTAAAATATTCCTCCCTTAAAGGGGCAGCAGATTCTGAACACTAGGGCTATGTACAGACAGCAGCACTATTTTGGGATACTAGAAGTATCCTGAACTAGCTATACTGCATCTTTAAACTCACCTGTTATTTCAAAATATATTTCGAAATAACCGGCTTGCTACTCTGGTGTCCCTGTAACCCTTGTTCCATGAGGGTTAAAGAATTATTGGAATAACACTTTATTTCAAAATTTGGTACTGTGTCGACAGAGCCAAAATTTGAAATAAGCTATTTCTAATTTATCTCAAAATAAGCTGCGCAATTTGTGTAGCGCAAATTGTGTAGCTTATTTTGAAGTAAGAGTGCAGTGTAGACACACACTAGTTCAATGATATCAGTCTAAGCAAGACCAGGGTAATAATAATGCACTCATACATGAAGTTCACAGCAATAATTATACACACACACAATGTGCACAAAAATAAGTACTTTAATATTTTGGAAATACTGTACATGATTTTTTTAAGCTAGCTATTTCTCACAAACCCCTTGCTCACATGACCTCAAACTAGGACCACTAATGCTACTTAGGATCTCTATGTGGCATAGTATTTCTCAAGACAATTTGAGTAAGCATATGGGTTTTAGAGCACTTAAAAAGTCAGATGTTAAATAGCAACCTAATTTCAAATTTAACTCTAGGGGAGCTACCACCCTATTGTGAAATAGTTCCTTTGTCAGACAAAAGGAAATATTTGAGGTCTGTTAGAGAATATTAATTCCACATCTAACAGCAGACTAAAATGAGAAATCAGGGTGTATTGAACCTCTTACTTCCTTGAACAATAGGGTGGTTGCTGCAGAATACAGGAGAATGTGAACTCCTGCTCTAACTAAATGACAAAACATTTATGTGGGTGGCTAATAATTTTCCACGTCTATTCTATCTTTCCCCCTTCCCCTCATTAAACAATTTCTTAATCTTCATAATGAAAGATGATTAGATATTAGAACAGAATATTGTGTATTCACTGCAGGTTCAAACTTTGCAAAACAAATGTATTTAAATGTATAATCTAGAACACAGTGGAACTCACAGGGATCTCAGATATGCCACAGTGACACTGTTTAGAGTGAAGTATACTGGCAGTTCAGAATTGTTTGAATGTATAGAAATGTGAAAACAGCAATTTTAATAACAGTGAACCTGCATTTAGAGAGAAGTTCTTCATTAGAAAACAACAGAATGACTTCACAGTAAATATGTGGCATAGTTATCACTATAGCTAGCTAGCTTGCCTATTTGTTTGGGTCTAAATTTTAATTTGAACTACGTGTGCAGGAAAGTAAGGAGTAAGAATCCCCCTTGTACTGCTGTGTGAGTTACTGATCCCATGTGTCTGGCTGCCCAGCATCCACTCACCTGCTGATCATTAATTTCATTTGGTGAGCCTTATGTTATGAGAAGGGAAAAATACAACCCTTCCTTATTTATTTATTTATTTATTTATTTATTTTATCCTCACTAGCCATGATTATAAAGACCTCTATGATATCTGCCCTGTCAATCACTAATCTCTTTTCATACAGAAACTGTTCCATTATCCCTATCTACTCTTTTGCACTTTTCAGAACCTTTTCCAGTTCCAATATACCTTTTTCCTTTCTTAGTTATTCCCAGCATTCTATTCACTTTTCTGACTACTGCTGCTCATTGAGTGGATGTTCCCAGAGGACTATCCACAATGGCTCCAAGATCACTTTTGTGAGTGGTAACAGCTACTTTAAATCCCTTCAATAGGACTTAACTAACTCAAGTAGTTTTGTATCATTTGCAAATGTTGCTATCATATTTTTATCCCTTTTTTCCAGATTATTTATGAATATTGAATATGACTATTCCCAGTATAGACCCCAGAACGGGATCACTATTTACCTATGATCATTCTGAAAACTAACCATTTATTTCTAACTTTCATTTTCTATCTTTTAACCACTTACTGACCATTAAAAGACTGTTCTTATTTTGTGTAAGAGCCTTTGGTGAGGGACCTTGACAAAGGCTTTCTAGAAATCTAAGTATACTATATCTAAAGGATCCCTCTTGCCCATGTGCCTGTTAACTCTCTTTAAGAATTCTAATAGTTTGGTGAGGCATGATTTTCCTGCACACAAAAAAAACATGTTGACTCTTCCCCAGCAAATCATATTCATCTGTATGTCTGATAATTCTGGGTATGTCTACACTACCCCGCTAGTTCGAACTAGCGGGGTAATGTAGGCATACCGCAATTGCAAATGAAGCCTGGGATTTGAATTTCCCAGGCTTCATTTGCATAAGCGGGGCGCCGCCATTTTTAAATCCCCGCTCGTTCGAACCCCGTGCCGCGTGGCTACACACGGCACGAACTAGGTAGTTCGAACTAGGCTTCCTAGTTCGAACTACCGTTACTCCTCATTCCACGAGGAGTAACGGTAGTAGCAGAGCTAGCTGGGGGCTGTGCCGGTGGTGGTGTCGGCTGGAGCAGGACTGTCGTATATGCAGGGGGTCCACGAGGAGTAATGGTAGTTCGAACTAGGAAGCCTAGTTCGAACTACCTAGTTCGTGCCGCGTGTAGCCGCGCGGCACGGGGTTTGAACGAGCGGGGATTTAAAAATGGCGGCGCCCCACTTATGCAAATGAAGCCCGGGAAATTCAAATCTCGGGCTTCATTTGCAATTGCGGTATGCCTACATTACCCCGCTAGTTCGAACTAGCGAGGTAGTGTAGACATACCCTCTGTTACCACAGTCTCAACCAATTTGTCTAGTACTGAAATTAGGATTACTGTCCTGTAATTACCATGATCACCTCCATATGCTTTTTAAACTATCCTCCAGTCATCTAGTACAGAAGCTGATTTAAATGATAAATTGCATACCAGTTAGTAGTTCTGCAATTTCATATTTGAGTTACCTCAGAACTCTTGGGTGAATATCATCTGGTCCTGATAATTTATTACTGTTTAATTTATCAAAATATTTCAAATCCTTCTCTATTGATACCTCAGTCTAGGATAGTTCCTCCTTTTTATCACTTAAAAGGAACAGCTCAGATTAGGGAATCTCCAGCATATCTTCAGTCATGAAAACAGATGCAAATAATTTATTTAGTTTCTCTGCAATGGCCTTAGTGTCCCTGAGTGATCCTTTAGCATGTGGATCATCCAGGGACCCTACTGATTGTTTAGGAGGCTTCCTACTGCTGATGTACTTATAAAAAATGTTTGCTACTACTTTTGGAGTCTTTGACTAGCTGTTCTTTAAATTCTCTTTTGGCTGTCCTAATTACATTTTTACACTTCATTTGCCAGAGTTTAGGCTCCTTTTTTTCCTCACTAGGATACAACTTCCTTTTTTTTTAAGGATGCCTTTTTTACTTTTGCTGCTTCTTTTACTTTGTTGCTTAGCCATAGTGCCACTTTTTTGGTCCTCTATGATTTTTAATTGGGGATATACACATTAAATTAAGTTGAACTTCTATCATCATGTCTTTAAAAAGTGTCCATGCATTTTGCAAAGATTTCACTTTTGGCACTGTATCTTGTAATTTCTTTTTAACTAACTTCCTTATTTCTGGTTAGCACCCCTTTCAGGAAATAAATGCTTTGATGGGTTGCAGTAGTGGTTTCTCCACCATAGGGATATTACATTTAATTCTATTTTGGTCACTATTATCAAGGGGTCCAGCTGTATTGACCTGTTGGACCAGATTCTGTGCTCCATTTAGAACTAAATGAAGAATTATCTTTCCTCTTTTGAGTTCCAGGATAGGCTGCACCAAGAAACAGTCTTTTAAAACATCAAGAAATTTTTTCTCTCCATCTCCGTCCTAAAGTGACATGTACCCAATCAATACTGAGATAATTGAAATCCCTGTTATTGCTCAGTTTTTATTTTAATAGTCTCTCTAATCTCCCTGACCATTTCACAGTTGCTATCACCATCCTGGACAGATAGCATATATGTGCTAGTATTTACCATATATTTGAGAGTGTCTGTCTGTCTGTCTGTCTAAGAACTCCTTCTAAACGGTAAGAGCTCGGAGCACCAAATTTGGCATACAGCTTCCTCTTATCATAACTTAAAGCAAAGATGAGGATTTGGTTGTGCCAGAAAAATGGGATGTGCCTGGGATGGGATTGCTTTTCATAAAACAGAAAGGGAGGGCTCTGCAATATAATGAATGCATTGGGCAGAGGGGATATGAAATGGAAAGCAGGGATAGTTATACTGTATAATGACCACAGGGAGCAGCAAATGGCCAGAGATGGGGCCCAGGACAGTAGTTTGCTGCATCCCTCACTCTGGGTGGGGAGTGCGGGGTGCAGATGAACCAGGACCTGCTGCAGTCTGGGGGCAGCATCCCTTCCCCACCGGTACTGACTTTGGAGCAGCAGTGGCCATGGAGAGGCACTTCTTACCCCAAGCTGCTTCAGTAAGAGGGCTGGGGTAGTCCTCTGTCCCTGGCAGCTTGCATACTTAAGCCCTTATCCCCAGCCCCAAACCAGAACAGTGGTTCACATAATGAAAAAAAATACTTGTGTTAAGGACCTGAGCAATGCCAGATAAATCTTCTAGTAATCTATAAGTTTAAAATACAACATAAAGCATCCAACAGTCCACCGGTGTTCATATCACACTCCTTACCCCTAGTAGGCCTGGGAGGGTAAAGCTCATGACACAATCAGTGGAACAGGTTCAGTGATGAATCCTAATTGCATGCCACTTGAGCCATGTTGCACATGTGCTAAGAAGAACTTAGCCTTTAAGTCAAATAAAACCATACAGGTAACGGATACACCCCAAAGTCCTTTAAAATCTCCCCTCTCCCAGTGATCATCTTTCATTACACTTCCTCCCTCCATGAAAACTGAAGGTCAACAGATGAGGCTATTCTGGACAGAAGAGGGGTGGGATGAATGCATTTCAAGCATGGGACACCTACCTTTTGGTTGTTCTTTCCGTTCAATCTTTTCTTGTTTTTCAGGTTTGTCTTTGTGAATTACTAGAAATACATAATAGTGGCATAGTCATCACTGTTACATCCTCCACAAACCTAGCGATTCTTTTAAAAAAGTATTTGCAAGATAACAGTAATGGAGTTCAGTTCTGAATCACAGATGCTAGATTCTGATGTGTAGCAGCAATCTTCTTTACATTTTCCCATTTAATTCCATGTACACCAGAAATATAAATATTTTTTCTAACAACTGAGCCTGTTAATACTTGTGAAGATTGCTGTATCGTGTATCTGCACTGTAGCTGAGCATTCAGACACTTTTACTCTCATTTGTAAGATCTGTTTTTGACCTATTACATAAGCAGGCTGCTCTCTGATCCTAATGTGGGAAACTATTTTCCACTCTTTGACAGCAGCACTTTCTATTCTTAACAGAAAATGGCTCACACAAGCTGTTTTTTATTTTTGGATGTTACTTCAACCAAAAAGATGGATTAGCAAGGGTATATGTCTCTTACAAGAACACAACATCAGAAAAATAGCTGTTCAAATAGCTGCCTTCAGCAGAGAAATTTGATCTCCATAGGTAGCCAGCTGCTCACCTACATTCTTGCTTAAGTGTTTGGCTATCCCAGTATCCCATTTCATAAAGAAGTGAACGTAAAGATGCTCACCACCACAACAGACACCCATGAAAGAGCAAGGTGGTAGTCTTCCATGGAAAAAGAAAGAGAGATTTTCTATCCTCACCTCAATTTTCTTGCAAAAACTAAAACACAGTCATGCCAGGTGGATGACTGTCACAGTTGCATGCATGTATATCAACGTGTCTTCCCTGATCAACTCATAATTATTTTAGCACTTTTTTACTTTATCAGAAGAGTTATGAAAAACTACAAATGATGTGATTTTTTTTTGTTTAAATATTTCTTCCTAAAATCATGAATGTATGTATGTCATTTAACCAAATGTTTGGTGTAAATGTTATCTAATTACATTATTTCCTTGTGAGAAAAAAATGTTAGCACAATAAAATTTCAATCACAGCAAGCAAGTGATTTTTATTACCACCTCCTAAATGTAATTGGAAGAGGTATAGAGGCTTGTACTTTTCAGAACCCCCTAGAGTTTTTGGATACCCAATTTACATTACAATGAACGGAAGCTGAGAATGGGATCTACATGGGGATTTCGGTGTTGTGATGTAGAGCGTCACAGTGCCTAACTTTTAGGTGACCAGAGAAATCACAGGAACCCACAAAGCCAAGTTAGGCACCTAGCTTCCCTA